TTTTATGATTAGATTACATAGGCAAACATGCTCAAGTAAAACAAATTACAAATTTATTAATTCTCATTCAGTTCTATATTTATATCTATAGTTAAATTCTAGCTATCCAAAGCAACACTATCCTATATATCCTTGGCTGAACAAATACATACACTTTGTGAATATTTTGTTTCAGGTATTCTTTTTTTAATACTTGATATATTATTTTTATTTTATGTGTATGTGCATATTGACTGCATGTAGGTAAGTGCACCCATGTGGTGCAATGCTCTCGAAGGACAGACGAGGCTGTCGGAGCTCCTAGAACTGAAGTTACACACAGTTGTTAGCTTCCATGTGGATGCTGGGATTCGAACCTGGATCTTCTGCAAGAGCAACCACCGTTCTTAACCACTGAGCTATCTCTCCAACCTCTTGGGTCTTCTTTTAGTCAGAAAGAAAAACAATACCAGTAAAGCTGAACTGAGTCTCTACAGAAATTATAAGAGAATGAGAAACTATTCTCACCTTAATCATAATTGACAATTAGGAAGTTAGGAAAATGTAAGGGAAACATTTGTTTTTAATCCATGTTTTGAAATAATCGGTGTCCTTCCTCTTTTCCTGTAGATAAGTGGAGGAGCTACACATAAGGAAAAATCTGATATTATTTACTGTATTAATTTGGTAAAACTTAATAGAAAGCTGTGCTCTCTTTTGCTTGCAAAGGATAAAATTAGACATATGAAAGATATGATTGTATTTAATGAAGTTTGGAGAGCAAAAGTTATCTGAAATATTGAGTGTACCCTGCTGCCTCTAAAATCCTAAATCCAGTTCTGTGAAGGAGGAATTGTAGATGGCATTGATATGAGAGTTGATAGTTCCTTAAAATGTTTCTTAACGTTTTTTAATTTGTGTGTATTTGTATGTGTTGGAGTGTATGCGATATGTTTAGGTATCTGTGGAGACAAGATGACACAAGATTCCCTGAATCTGGAGTTATAGGCAGCTGTAATCAGATTTGTTCCGGGAACAAATCTTAGTAATGTACAGGAACATCAAGCATTCTAAACCACTGAGCCATCTCTCGAGCCTGAGAAAAGCTTTTTAAGCACAGGAAATTTCTATTTGAATTGTTCTGAGGTGACTGGAATTCTAGCAGATGGGTGCCCTCTAAACCAGTATTTTAAGGGGGAGAGGGATTTTTCACTCCGGGAGAACATGTGGATATTAAGAGACATATTTTTAGCTTGCTAGAAATGTGTCTGGCATCTGATGAACAGAGGTCAGAGACTGACATGATTATCCTATAAAAGGGTAGATTTGACCATATGGTACTGAAATAAATGGTCCAGAATGTCAGTGGTGTCAACAGCAAGACACACTGTTCTCATTGCAGAAGGAACAATGACAAGGTTTTCAATTTTCATTTTAGAATGAGTAGTCTCACACATGGAAGGTAAAATTCCCACCACATTCTGAACTTGTGAAAGTCAGTGGAAGGCTTTATTGCCTTGTGGTCACCCAACACCCCTGGCTCTTACAGCTTTTCTACCCCTTCTGCAATGGTCCCTGAGCCCTGGGTGTCTGAGGTTTAATATAGGAGTCCTATCCAGACACGTGTACTCTATTTTGAGCAGTTGTGGATTTCACTATTAATCATCTGCTGTATGAGGAAGTTTCACCAGTGAGAGTTGAGAGATGTATTAGTGATATTTCTGTCCACTGTTCTGCTATCTTCTGTGAGCCTTAGGTCTAGAAGTTCCATTGTAAATATGTCACTTTCTGCTGAACATCTAACAGACACTTATTCTCTACATTTGACTAGTTCTGCAACCCTGTGTGCAAAAAGAAGCTTCCTGGATAAGTGGTGACTGTTATATATATTTGAAACACAGTAAGAAAATATATTTGTCTAGGGATGTGAAAGATGGGGGGTTTTTCTCAGGATCTATGACTTCTCCAGCCATGCATATTTGGCTATGTTTACACTGCCAGGCCTGAGTTCCTTCCCTGTGAGTGAGCTGAAGTCCAATTAGATAGTTGTTAATTACCCTCAAGATGAGAGCGTTACTACTGTACCAGTAAAGATAATTTACTGTGTCAG